GAGATGGGTCATCCTGAGGAGATGGGTCATCCTGAGGAGATGGGTCATCCTGAGGAGATGGGGTGAGGGAGCCTGGGATGGGTCATCCTGAGGAGTGGGGGTGAGGGAGCCTGGGATGGGTCATCCTGAGGAGTGGGGGTGAGGGAGCCTGGGATGGGTCATCCTGAGGAGATGGGGGTGAGAGAACCTGAGGAGATGGGTCGTCCTGAGGAGATGGGATGAGGGAGACCGAGATGGGTCATCCTGAGGAGATGGGGGTGAGGGAGCCTGGGATGGGTCATCCTGAGGAGATGGGGGTGAGAGAACCTGAGGAGATGGGTCGTCCTGAGGAGATGGGATGAGGGAGACCGAGATGGGTCATCCTGAGGAGATGGGGGTGAGGGAGCCTGAGATGGGTCATCCTGAGGAGATGGGGTGAGGGAGCCCGAGATGGGTCATCCTGAGGAGATGGGGGTGAGGGAGCCTGGCATGGGTCATCCTGAGGAGATGGGATGAGGGAGCCTGAGGAGATGGGTCATCCTGAGGGCTGAAGCAAGGAGAGATGGGGGGTGAGGGAGCTGTAGGTAGAGCGCCCGAGTCCATGAGCTTCTCAGGGAAAAAGCCGGTGCCAGTGGAAGTCCAGCCCGCTTGGCCAGGGAGGGATGCTCCTCCCGACAGGGGTGATCCTCACCAGCCCGGCTGTCACACGTCAGAGGGAGCTGAGAAGAACGAGCTGCCTGAAGTGGAGAAGCATCGTTAAAGTCATCGCTGTGCCCTTTAGAGGGGCACAGAGTCTGTCCCCCCGCGGAGGCAGGGATGTCTGATACTGGCACCAGCCTCTTCTGTCTGCAGGAGGTTTCCCCCAGAAGCGAGGACGGTTGGACCTGGTGTGAAGGACACGAGCCAAAAGCCATCCTAGATAGCATGAGATGGGGGACAGCCCTGGGTGCAGCTCTCCCAGCTCCCCTCTTTAAAAATCAGCCCCAGCACTTCTTGAGATGCCCTTTCTGAGCTCCTGGCCGTGGGGGTCTGACAGAGTCAGGCCCTGACACACGGGTGGGCTTGGGCTGTGTTGAGGGGTATGTGTGAGCTCAGAAGGTTTCACACGTGGAGGCGACAGGGCTGGCAGCTGTGAACCAGGGCAGCACCTTGTCTTGGCTGATCCTTTCTTGACTTGGGTGTGGGAGCTCATCCTCACACCAAAGTGGGTCACTCATTCAGCCTCTGTGTTTGTTTTCCTGACAAAACTGAACCTTTGCAGCGACCCAACACCTCAGGGCCCTCAGGCATACAGACATGAGGAGAAACCCAGGAGAAAGAGGGAGAGGATGGGGTAAGGTTTCCTTTCACACACCCAGCCTGGGCAAAGTTTCTAGGGCCAGATGTTGTTGTACCTGTTGCTTCATGCTTAGCAGACACTCATAGAGTGTTGTTTGTCCCATCTCTTTTAGAACTGGTGTATTCATTTGGTCTCCAGAGTTTCCTGGGTCAGTGAGAGACACAACTTTAGGAACGTGTTGTGTGAAAAAATATTTCTTTTTATCTGTTATAAGCCTGCTGCTGGGTGATGGCCTATACAGGACCCTCAGTGGTGTGCTCCCAAGTAGTGGAGAGAGTTGTTCCCTTTTCACTTTCTCCAGGGAACTCATGATGTTACACACCTCCACTGTGCTCTCATCTTCAGGTTTCCATTTTCCAAGAGGAAAACTCCTAGCTTTAAATCACTGAGCTGATTAAAGAACAATATGAACATGATGGCTTATTATAATTTTTAAATCAGGAGCTTCCAATGAGATTCCTTTTTACAAGAGATGTGCAGCTCAGGCTAGACACAATGCATTTTTGTAGACAGTCAATGATTTAGGGTTTTGGAGTTAACCCTACAGAAGTCCAAAAAATGTTCCATTTTATGAAGTGCAAAATTTCAGCAGGTTGAGGTATTTCTGATATTTCCTTTCCCCAGATGTATTTTGTGCTACCAGCTTGTCTTTTATTGAGCGCACATATAAATAAGTGGTGTAAATGCTGTCGACAATGGAATATGAAGTTCTGACTCTCCTGCTGCAGAAAGAGGCAAAATGAGGTTGGATGCCATTCCAGAAGAGCCATCATGTAGGAAAAAAAAAAAAAGCAAGCATATTTATTTTTCAGTTAAATTTATGATTCAGTTAAATTTTGTGGAGTAACAGCCCAATTTTTTCTCATGTCTGAGGCAAACAGATGACATGTAGCTGTATCATTTTAGTAAACAATGCTGGAGATGCATTAAGAATTAAATAATATTAAAGATCTCAAAAGGAAAATAATCACTGCAGAAGTCACTTGTAATGCAAATGCATCATCCTCAAGGATCCAAAAGCTGCCAGGCTGCAGCCAGCCAGGGCAGGAGCTGAGTTGGGGAGCTATTGATTTTAACAAGTGCAGACCTGCTTGACTATCTTTTCAACTTTTTCTCTGTAAATAGTAACTGTTTGTTTGTTTGTGGAGGTATTTCCTGGCTTAGGCAACAACCAAGTGTTTGTCAAAGATGTAGGGAGATTGTGTTGCATCAGTAAAACGTGTAGGGCCTGATAAATTATTATTCTGCACAGCAAATACCTTGTAGACAAAGGGCTTTTATGGCCAGGAGCCATGGGAGGTTGGGTGGGAGTGCAGGGTGATATGCAGGGGGTCAGAGCACCCTGTGTGATCCCAGTTCCATAGGAAAGGCTGGAAATACATGAAAACAGAGTCAGTCTCTATGTCAACCCCATCTGCTGTGGAAACCCGATGCCTGCTGGTTCCAGAAGGCAGTTGTCTCCCCAGCCTTCGTGTGGAGGCTGACACAGCTTTTAGCTCTGACATTGCAAAGATGAAGGAAAAGGACACTGCAAGGCTGAGTGCACATAGAGAACAGAAAATACTGCCTATCATCTTAGCACAAGGAGTATTTATAACATTGAGGGAAAAGTCCATGTGGGACATCTGGCCTGTGTGCAGGAGACACGTGGCCTTGTCACCCAAGGAGGGACCCAGGGAGGGGAAGCCCATCCTGGTGCTGCCAGCAGCTGTCCCCTAGCAGCACTGGAGGGTGGCCTTTGGAACAGCTCTGAAATGCTGTGACAGGGACGTGGTGAGGGTCACTGGCAGATTTACAGTAGCTTTGTGTGTACATCTGTCTGCACGAGAGACATTGGCCCAGGGAACCCACTGCCTGGAGAGCCCTTATCATGGAGGATGGCTGGGAGCAAGGCACAAGGAGATGCCATGGCAAGACTGCTCCCAGGGGACCCTCTCCAGGTCTCACACAGACAGGTTAACTCACTCTTGTGCGTGCAAGAGCTTGTTCACACATCCCTTGTCCCCCTGAAGTGTCCCCAGCTCAGCCAGACCTCGTGCATTCAAGCCCAAACTTGCTCTCTGCAAAAACCCCAGGACAGACTGTCCCTTGGGCAGAGCCTGCTCTCTGAAAGTCACTCCTGAAGGCTGACTTGTACAACCAACCCACTGGGGCCAGAGGTTTTCCAGAGATCTCAAATATATTAACGTTGATTTCACTTTCTTCTTGCTTCACCATTATTTGACAAGCATTTTGTCCTCACCTGCCTCTGCAAGGGGAATCGAAGCACTGCAGGGACTGTCTGCTCTGTCTCCCTCCCTCTGGCAGCCTGGCTGTGCCCAGCAGTTTGTCCGTGCTGGCAGGCAGGTCTGCAGAGAGCAGCAGAGGAATCCAACACCTCTTGCCCAACACAGTCACTGGAGGCACAGCTTGCTCTCAGATATCTCTGTGATCACTGATCTCTGAGAACATAATATGCCACCACACCGAGTGCATGGAAAGGGAAGGATCCACTTCACAGTCATCGGGAGCTGCTTGACTGGAGAGGGAAGGGGCTGTACCAGAGCCACAGCAGCTGTCTGACTTCTGTGGTGGAGTTTAAACTGGTAGACTGGGCTTTGTCTAATGTGCACGTGGCAAGAAGGTACCTTGCTTGATGTGGATATGCTGGAGGGGATAGGTGACACAGTGTGCACACAAATCGCTATAATTGCTGGGATTTTCAGGATCTTGGAAGCTGCTCTCTGTATCTGGCCTTCTCTTGCAAAGTTACGTGAGGTCAGGAGATGTGGTCAGGGTAGAGAAGGATATGCTGACAGTTATTAGCCCCTGCTGACACTTGTGCTCGATGGGGAAGGCACTTACGTAGAAATACTCTCCATGCAGGACTGAGGAAGTGGTCAGAAGATCATTATTTGATTCAGATGGGTGTGAAGGTCTTTGATGCTGGCAGATGGTTTACATGGTGTGGGCAGGATCTGCAGCCCTACAGAGGGATTGAAGGAACAAGATGTGTATGTGGTAAGAGATGCTGTTCAGGAAGATCAGCTCCTTGTTGCCAGTTTGCAGGACTGGAACAGCCACCTTCTGCACACTAACAGGGACCCTTGTGCTGGCAAATGGGCTCAGCATAGTTTGGGTTCAGTACAATGTTCCCAGAGGTAGTGAGCTCCCTGGAAGGTCTCTTTACAAGGAGCTTTTACAGTGACATGCTTGAATAAAATGACATTTTGCAAAGGGCCCCATAGTGTGCCCAGTGGAGCACTGAAGTGGCCCCTGCCACATCCCTCCTGCTTGACAGGCTGGCAGTGAGGGATGCTGGGGATCTTCTGCTGACCTGCTCTTTTACTCAAGCTCACTTGGTTAAGCCTAGGAGTCAAGTAATGGGTTTCAGTGGATCTTCACCCTGGGGTTAACTGGGTGCTTTCCCAGACACCTGCATTCCTCATTTGAGGCCCCTTAAGTTTTCTCTAGTCTTGAGATTCCGCTTCCTTCTCCTTTGCAGGCTTTTCCAGGTGGCTTGGAAGCACATAGAAGATGGGGTTAACCTAACTTCTAGGCAGAGCCCTTTCCAGCCTCTTTGCCTAGAAATGTGTTTGTTCTAAAGCCTTGGTCAGGCAAAGCTCTCAGAGGGGATGCTGCCACGAGCCATCTGAAAAGAAATAACATTCCTGAGTCGGGTCTGGCTTTTCCTTCTTTCCTTTTCCAAACACTGTGCTGTGCCCCTTGGTTCAAGCCCTCTCCCAGCCCTCCACCAAAATCTGGGCAAAAGAACAGGAAATGAGGAGCACCAGTGATGTCCACCCTCATCTCCTGCAAGGTGTGTTTGAATAACCCTGCTGTGCTTGGGCTCTATGTGTGGTAAGAAGCTGTCTGAGCTCCTCAGGAGAGGAAGCCCTGGCATGAGAACAAGGTGGATTGAGGGGAAGAGAAAGAAGCAGCAATACAAATTGTTCTAATTAGCTTGTCCAGACTCTGACAATAAGCTGACAAAGCTGTGACCATGTGCTTTACTTGCACTTATCAGAGGAGGGCTTGGTTTCTCCTAAATGTGTGTTTGCCTGCACCAGGTTCTTACCCTGTGTTTCCTTTACCCTGTGATTTCCCAAGGTGTTCTCCAGGCTGAGCTGCTTTTCCTTGTGGTGTGGTCAAAGGCTGAATGCCTACAATGATGGACACTGCTGCAACAGCTGTAGGCACTGTGATGAGTTCTTTATCTGTGAGCATCTTTTCTAAGAGGCACTGCTGAGGCCAAGCTAACTTGTTGCCCACAGTCACTTCCTACAATAACCACCCCACAGGCTGAGCTGTAGCTAGAGCTGCTTCTCCACCTCGTGCTATGCTTGTGTAAAAGGTTTCAGATGAAGGAATTTAGACCCCTCTGGGTAAAAGCTCTGTCTCCCCCTTTTAACCCACTTCCCCCGTGCAGTAACTAACCAGTCCACCCACTGTGTGTTGCAGCAACTGAAACACCCCAACCTGGTGAACCTGCTGGAAGTGTTCAGGAGGAAGCGGAGGCTGCATCTGGTCTTTGAATACTGTGACCACACAGTTCTCCATGAGCTGGACAAGCACCCCCGGGGGTGAGTGACCTGTTTCTCACTAGGACCTTTGAGCAGAGGAGCCAGGGGCTGTCTGTGTCATTGCTGCTCTGCAGACTTCTCAGAGGAATTGCATTCATTACAGGAGTGATTTCTCAGCCATGTCTTGCTCTGTTGCTGTGGTTTAGCAATGACTTCTAAAAGAATTGTGTGTGAGCCTGCGTGCAGCCCTGCATGGTGCTGCTCACCAGGGAGACAGGGGCTCTGAGCCTGGGCCTTTGGGGGATCTTTGGCTGCCTTGGCAGCAGCAAACCCCAGGGCTTTGGGAGCATCTGATGTCTAACTGCAAAGAGGCAAAGGTTGGGTGCACATTCCTGTGGGAGGCACTGGGCACCCAAATGTACAGTCTGTAGTGGTGTCACTGATCACCTGTGTGACAGAGCAGTCAGTGACTCCTGCCATGCTGCTGCACTAAGGAGAATGTGTTGGTTGGCAGGAGTTCTCAGGAGCTGTGCCTGCTCCTCTCTGCTCAGCCCCAGTGAACTCCCAGGCCATAGAATCATAGAATGGTTGGGCCTGGAAGGGACCTCTGGAGATCATGGAATCCAACCTCTCTGCCAGAGCAGGACCACCTAGGGCAGGTCACTCAGAAAGGCATCCAGACAGGTCTTGAAAGTCTCCAGAGAAGGAGACTCCACAACCTCTCTGGGCAGCCTGTTCAGGTCAGATACCCTCTGCTTTAAACAAGCACTTGCACCAAGTGTGAGCTTCACGGGCAAAGGAACATTCTCCAGGACAGGGTTTGTTCCTTGACACATTATAAACAACACTCCCACTAAATACATTATCCCTAACTGTTCACAGTGACTTGGTGCTGTGGCAATGCTAAGCAGAAGTTCATAAATCATTTGACAGGCCTGGAGCTAAATGAATTGTCTGCTGGAGACTAACTGAGAGTTGAGTAAACAAGAGCCTGTTACTTTCCTTCTGCATGACGTGGAGCTCTAGGAGAATGGAGCATGCTGATAGCAGAAGGCTTTGTGAGCTGGTGAGCAGCTTTCACCCAGTTTGAACCAGTTCACCTGGAATCTGAGGAGAGGATGGATGAACTTCTTCGAAGGAAACACTCCACATTTGCTTTCTATTCATCAGAACAGCTCCAGTGTGAACAAACATGGAGCACCTGGTTGCATACTTTGCTTTGGCCTTTGCTGGGGCAGATGGTCAAGTCTTGTGGTCAGGATTATGATGGGTGGGCACAGGCCTCTTTGCACTGTGTTTCGAGGCCGTTTGACCAACTTCATCCCTTGTCAGGCTGTCAGTGCAGCACTCTAGGGCATTCATATCATTCTGGGATGTTTCTGCAAGGAAACTCTAGTATTACAGCAGCACTGTCAGCACAAGACCTTCAGTGCTAACAGCAGAAGGTGCCTTAAAGAAAATGCCAGGCTTCCTCCATATTTTTTGTTTAGTTTTGGGTGGTTTTGTTTGTTGTTGTTTTTCTTTATGATGAATCAGAAGATTTTCAGCATTAAACACTTGAAATAAAATTGGATTTGAGCTTGACAGTGCCAAGACTGCCACCTCTGCCTTTCCTGGGGTTGTTGAAGACCATTACAGGCAGCCAAGGAAGTTTAAGAAGTGTTGCACAGTACCTGAGGAGAGGAGGCTGGACCTTTAACAGAGGTTTTCTTTCTCTGAAGGAGAGGAGATGCAAAACAAAGTAGAGCTTTAAACTCTTGTAGGGATGTCCTTCCCCATCCCATTTTGGTCACGTCTCCACTCTGGACATGACAGCATTGCAAGTCATGCATCTATACCATGGATGCTCCACCAGCTCCAGCTCTCAGAGCAGCTGCAGAGGCAGAAGTGCCTGCTGGGGTTTCAGGAGGACAGCCAGGAATTGTGGATGCTGAGCACAGCCACAAGACAGGATTTCACACAGACTTGTACACACTGATGTGTGGTCACCAGTTGCCTCATGCTGGCTGTGACTGAGTGGTACCAGACACTCTGGCACATTGTGAGCTGCCAGAAATCCTTGTACCTCGTTTCACTGACTGGCTTTGGAAGCAGTGTTGATGTTCCCTTGGATGCTGCTGTGGTGCTTGAAGGGTGAGCTCAGAGGAGAGCATTGCTTTCTGCAGGGAGGTGCAGGCAGAGCTCAGCCCCAGCTCTGAAACATGGGAAGAGGCACAAACAGCCTCCACCTTTAGCAACTCAGTGTTACTGGTTCCCTGCAGTGGAAGATCAATGAACTGAGGGTTATGATGTATTTATTGTAAAGGATTTATATCAAGAAAATGCACCTAGTGTTTCTTCTCCGAGTTTCCTGACTTTGTCCCTGATGGTTTTGCCCAGAGATTCCTGTGCAGCATTAGCACTCTAAGGCCTCCTCTTCCTTTTTCCTATAATAGGGAAGTTGTTTTTAAAGGCTAAAACAAAAATGTGCTTTTTTAAAACAGAGTGCCGGAGTATCTGGTGAAGAGCATAACCTGGCAGACCCTCCAAGCTGTGAACTTCTGCCATAAACACAATGTAAGTCCCCTAAAGAGCTCTAAAAATTGCTGTAAAATGGCCTTGGAGAAGATGGGGATCCTGTTGCCATGTTCCTGATTGCAGAGCTTCCATGGGATGCAGTCAGGTCTGAAATATTAATGTGTACCCATAAGAGCTGCATTTATTGTCGCACAGGTCCCTTGGGTTTCTATCAAGGAATGACCACATCTACTCTGCTCTATTTAGACCACATCTGGACTATTGTGTCCAATTCTGGGCTCCCCAGTTCCAGAGGGACAGGGAAAAAAAAAGGAAAGAGTCCAATGGTGGCTACAAGGATGATGAAGGGACTAGAACATCTGTCATATGAGAAAAAGCCAAGAGACCTGGGGCTGTTTAGTCTGGAAAAAAAGAAGACTGAGAGGGGATCTTATCGATGTCTATCAATATCTGCAGGGTGGGTGTCAAGAAAAGGCCAGTCTCTGTTCAGTGATACCTGTGATAGGATGAGGGGAAACAGCACCAAGTGACAACACAGGAAGTTCCACCTCAACATGAGGAGAAACTTCTGTACTTTGAGGGTGACAGAGCCCTGGGCCAGGCTGCCCAGAGAGGTTGTGGAATCTCCTTCTCTGGAGACTTTTGAGACCTGTCTGGACACGTTTCTGTGTGATCTGCCCCAGGTGTTCCTGCTGCAGCAGGGGATGGACTCCATGATCTTCAGAGGTCCCTTCCAACCCCTATGATTCTATGATTCTTTGACCTTACACAAGCTTCCAGGCTGAACAGGAACTTGTGTGTTCCCTGTGCCAGGCATTACAGCTGATGTTTAGAAAACTGGCTTAACATCTCCTCAGCTGAGACCTGAGCAAACTACTGCTGATTTCACAGAAGATGCTGTTGATAGTCATAGGCATTGACTCATGACACCAGCCAAAAGGTTTCACAAATTAGGTAGAGAAAACCAGTTTTACAACCCTCTTCTACTTTCTGGAGGGAGGTGTGAGTTGTGTTTGTAGAAAGCAGTGGGGATGCTTGGAGAAGCAGGGAAGGAAAGGAGCCTTTTGGAGAAATTATTTGGGCAAACTGAGCTGTAATTGTCTTTGGTTTTGTTTATGTGCCAATGTTTGAAATTTGGGAGTCAGGCAGGAGATAGCTCTGGAATGGCTGTTTTGTCTTTGGTGGGAGAATTCTGTCCACTTGAGCCACAGGAACTTGGCCATAGATCTGTCCTGCTTCCAGGATTTGTTGTTTTGCTTTTTTTTCTGGTCTCCCACTCAGTCTGAAAGATTTAATGGAGTTTTAAAGCAGAGGGAACAATGAGATGCTGCAGTCTGACCTGCTGTAGATCACAGGTAATGAGGTTTTATGCAGCTGCCCTTTTTGGAACTCCATGACACGGGTTTAACAAGCAGCATTTCAGTCCTCAGGAGGAGACACAATAATTTACCACCAGCTTAACTAGGAAAAGTCTGGGGTGTTTGTGCTGAGGTGATGGTAGGGAAAAGACAACATGAGCTAGACCCTGATTTCAGTAGAGCACATCTTTCACACACAGGCAGAAGAAATTAATCAGTTTGATCAGCAGAAACACTTTGCCAAGCCCAGATTCAATTGTGAACCTTCAGCAAGAAAGGTCACCTCCCAAGAATCACAAAATTGCTGATGCTGGAAGTGACCTCTGGAGATCATCTAGTCCAGCCCACCCACTCAAGCTGGTTCAGAAAGAGCAGCTGCTCAGAAGCTTTTCCAGTCAGGGTTTGAGTATCTCCAAGGATGGAGGATTCAGAAACTCTCTGGGCAAACTGTTTGAGTATTTAGCCACCCTCACATGGAAAAAAAATATTGCTTAATGTTTAAATGGAATTTCTTGTGTGTTCAATTCGTGCCCATTGTCTTTTGTCCTTTCACTGGGCACCACTGAGAACAGCCTGGCTCTGTCTTCTTCCCAGCAGGTATTTCTACATATTGATAAGATTACTCTGGGCCTTCTTTTCTCCAGGTTGAATGGTGGTCCCAGCTCCCTCATCCTCTCCCTGAATGTTGGATCTCCCATCCCTTGATCATTTTAGTGGCCCTTCACTGGAGTCACTCTCTATGCCCCTGTCTTCCTTCTGCTGAGGATCCCAAAGCTGGACACAGCAACTCTGGGTGTGTCTCGCCTGTGCTGAGCAGAGGGAATTACCAGCCATGCTCTGGCATCTACAGGATGGATAAAGTCCCACATCTAAACCATGACCTTCACCTCATCTGCAAGCTTTGCCAGAAAAATAATTTGCTTGTCCACTAGATTATCCGTAAATACAATTCATGGACTTTGTCCAATAACTGATCCCAGAGGATCGGTGCACCTCTCGTTAGGATCTCCCCACATACTCATAAAGGAGTGTGTTACACGCAGGTGTAACCAATGAGTTGCCTCTGCAGAGAGGCAGTTAACACCAATCCTTGCTGTGCAAACCTCACTCCTCCCAGTAGCAGATTACCAACTGGTGCTGGGGAGCTGACTCCCAGTTGTGCAAGTGCTGCAGAGCTGTGCAGCTGGGAGCCTGCAGGGTGTCTCATCCCAGAGGTGGGCTATGGGCAGGGGGATTGTCCTGCCCAGCAGGACGCGGCTCGAG